TCCCTTGTTGTTGCACCCAGGGGCTGCGTTCAGCGCCGTCCACAGGTGTTTTAGATCAGCCCCAATTTCCTTCTCGAGCATCGCATCACGATTCGCCTGTGGCGCATTCGGGATGCAGAAAGGTGCCCCCTCCCTGCAGCGGGGAACGTGGAGGAGCCAAGATCGACGCGAGAGCACTCACACGCCCGTCCTTTGTGCCTGCGGGAGAAATGGGAATACTACCACCACGTTAAACCGTGTTAACGAACGATGATGCAAATGACACGACAAAATAACCACCTGACACGCACCTTGATCATCGCTGTGTTGTACGCCTTCTTCGCGCGAAGCATGGGTGCGATTGCTTGCAATCGCAAGCGCTGCTCCTCGCTCTGTACAACCTGTGCGTTCACTGTGCGCTTGTTAGATGCGCGATATGGTGTTTTGATGAACTCTATGTGCAAGTGCTCGTAGAGCTGGGCGGAGTAGTGCTCTGGCAATCCTGCACGACGGATCGAATCTATGAAGTGGCTAATCAGGTGCATTTTGATGAAGTTCCAATCTGATGCCTGCTTGAAATGCGTCGTCAGGCCGTGTATCATCCTGCACAAGAAAGAGTGGATGATTCAGATTTGGCATGGAGGGTGAATGATAAAGACGTGTCAAGCATTGCAACGAACACCACTCACCGGTGCGCCTTGGTCTTCAAGTCGAGCAGACTTTTCTCTGTGTGCTCGCCCGCTCGTGCACACTCCAAATACCACGCAACCAGGTTCATTGCACGTGACGTAGCCACGCGTACAAAGCCACGCGGCAACACTCGAGGGTGACACCCCTAACCCTATCCAGCACAGCGGCGGTTCTATGAACGTGGCTGGGATAGAGCGTTGGTTCGGTGCGGCGATTTCCCATTGGCCACTAAAAGGTGTGTTGTGCCAGCTGTTGGCATACGTGACGTGGCCGCCGAAAGGTGTTTCCAACATAGTAATGCTATGTAATTTGCCTCTGATGGCGCGATGTACATTGTATAACACACGCACGAATAGCCTGGTTAAATTATAATTATTCAGAGTAGTGCCCAGAACTTACATAATATTTGTGTACTTTGGTTGCACCTTGAGTGTGTTTTTTGATATCATCTTTAGCAATTCGCGAATCATTAGACCTATTGAAATGTAGGTAATCGACTAAATCTAGGTGTTAACCGAAATATATGTGACAGTAACACGACACATCAAGCTGCGAAAATAGTGTCCGGTATAAATTCCTTATGTCAGTGCAAAATATGGCTGGGGAATATAATATTCTAGGGAAATGTGTCAAGAAATATAGGTAAAAACAAGACCCCGACGTTGAGACGGTGACATGTTGCGCACAGGCCTATCCTCACACAGATTTAGTCCAGCAAACGCACGCGCATGCGCCACGTGCTGCGTAGTTGTGCGAACGAGGTCAAACTAGTTCATGTGGCTAGGGAATAGGATGTAGTAGGAATTTGTGTGAATAAACAGTGATTAAAAAAGCATCCGGAGGTTGGCGTAGTAACATGTTGCGCACAGGCCTATCCTTGCACGGATTCAGGCTAGCAAACGCAAAAACAGGTGCCACGTGTTGCGTAGTTGTGCGAACGAGGTCAAACCTGCTTCTATGGCTAGGGAATAGGATGTACTAGGGAGGTGTGTAATGAAATAGGACTAAAAAAGGCATCTAGACGTTGGCGAGCTTACATGTTGCGCACAGGCCTATCCTTGCACAGATTCCAATGTTTTCTCGCATTTTCGGAACATCACAACTCGATTCCAGTTATGGCGAATGACATCTTACCTGACTAGCATGCTCAGTATGTAGTAAATGCTTCAATCATCTACAATACCTTCGTATCATCTACGATGTCATAGTATTCAGGAGCCACCATGCAAAACCGTTTACCAACCAGGAATCCACCTCACCAACGCGCCGAACGAGATGAACGGCTCGTTTGATGCTTGTCAGAATATTATTCTTATGTTCTAGCCTGTAGTGGGGTGCTCTATAGTGAGTACAACCCTTCTAGGGTTTGCTATTTGTATCCCCATTTCTGCTAGTTCACTCCTCTTTCTTTCTTCAAACTTTGACAATGCTATGTATCTCAATGACCCGGTAACGCTGCCTTAATGCAGGCCCCCTAAGTCTAGTGCACCCCGTCAACTTATCCTTTCTAGGTTGGATCTGGTAGTACTTGATATATGCGTACTCCATGGTCCTCCCATCTACTTTGCAGTGAAATAGTAAAAGAACCTTAGCGTACCACTCTTCCGTCCCATTGTCGGTCTCCCCTTTCACCACCACGTCTGAGTACCATGGACGTCCATGGTGTATTGGCAGGGCACGTACACGATGGGGCAGTCGGCTGTACTGTGCGTCAACTGCTGCTGGCATGGCCAACTCCCAGTGTACCTGCAGACATTACAAAAACAATGGGCTTAGAGGTGATGTCGCCCTAGTGAACGGTATTCTATAGTATAAAAACATTGTACCTGTATGCTCTTGATGTTCGACCCCTGGTTGTTGCACGCAGGGGCAGCGTCAAGGGCCGCTCTTAGGTGTGCCAAATCTGCCCCAGTCTCCTTCTCCAGCTTCTTGTCACGCTTCGGTTGTGCGGCGTTCGGGACGCAAAAAGGAGCAGCTGTCCGACCGCGAGGGACGTGTAGGAGCCAAGATCGTCGCGAGAGCACACGCACGCTTGTCCGCTGTGCCTGCAGACGTTAATAGCAATGGACATGCACGTTTGAGATTCAAGTCGTACTTGACATGCACACATGCGAATAGAGGAATTAGCTCACCTTGATCATGGCTGTATCGTACGTCTTCTTCTTGGCTAGCATGGGTGCAATGGACTGCAAACGCAAGCGCTGTACCTCACTCTGTACCACCTGCGCGTTCACACTACGCTTATTCGAGGAGCGATAGGGAGTTTTTATGTATTCGATGTGCAAGTGCTCGTAGAGTTGTGCAGAGTAGTGGTCTAGCAAGCCTGAACGCCGTATCGTATCTATGAAGTGGCTAACGAGATGCATCTTGATGAAGTTCCAGTCCGAAGTCTGCGGGAAATGTGTAGTCAAACCGTAGAGCATCCTGCGCGACAATTGGGTTGTGAACACACCCAGAGTTAGTAGGCTAATTGCGGCATGTCATACTGCGTCGAATAGATAAGCAACTCACCGTTGAGCCTTGGTCTTCAATTCGTGCAGACTGCCATCGGTGTGCTCGCATGCACGTGCGCACTCCAGGTACCACTCGATGTACGAAACCAAAGCTTTCATTTGGTCATCCGTAATGCACCCTTCCGCAATAAAGGGCAGAACCTGCATCACAGAACGATGCTCGAACGCTTGGTAATTTGCACCTTTGGCGAAGTATTCACCCGATGGCAGCCTCATGCATCCACCACGTGTGGACTTTTTAAGTTGTTTTAGACGTTGATCTAGCAACTTCATCTTCCTGTGATAGTTTTCCCTAATGTGCGCTCGAATGCTATCCACAATGTGCTCGAAAAGGCCTAGGTCGGCTTGATGCATGATATCAGGAAGCACCGCAAGATACGGGTTGAGCAAGCTCTCCGCTTCCCACCGCCATCCCCAAAGGTAACTCTGCGCGTATAGCATACGATAGTTAGACGAGGGTTATAACATAATTCAAAATGGAAGGGGAGTTTGTAACATACCTGGACCGGGTGAGTCGAAATGGCGTCATCGCCATCTGGTTGGATCGTCTTTGTCCGCACCGAGAGAACAATGGCGCGTTGCTCCGATGGCGTCCGCGCTTGAATGCGGTCGGTGAACAACGCAAGCTTGTCCTTATGAACCTTGCATAGTGAGCAAGGAAAGTTCGTCGATCCCGACTTCGTGCACGTTACTTTGCACGATTCCGGGTAATCCGTGACATGTGCATACATGGATGGCCACACGTTGATTGTTTTCCCCGCCGAGTCGACCATATCTATACCCGTATGAGAAGCACGCTTCAACCCCGCTAGCTCCTCGTTCATGATATAATGGAAGATCAGCGTCATATCTAGGGAATCATACTCTTCGGGATACTCCGGGAGCAAGGCAAGCAAGACGTGCCCATAGGGCTTCCACCTATCGTCCTTGTCAATATTTCCTAGTGTCAAATACACGGGATGCCCTTTAGCCTTCCCACGCTGATCCATATGGGTCTCATCACTTGCAAGAATGAGAGGAGCGACAACACCTTCCGGGTTGACTTCACGTATATTCTTTTGAAGCTCCTCCCACCATAGCGCGGTTTCGGGTGTTGAGTAAACTCGCATGGTGCCATCTTTAACGACGCGAGCCTCCATGCTCATATTTGGAGCGAGATTGGGGTCCTTTAGTAGATCCTGAAGAGCGACCAGTCCATCGCAGTACCAATATTCGAGCCACGCCTTGTTCCCCGCTCGAACGGTTTTGCGTCTCCACCCGCGATGCTTATCCGGGGCCCGTGATTCGACGTACTGTTGGAAATCGCGCGCAGACTTCCATCCTTTCAGCTGAGAGAGCTCAAATGCATGGTGGAAGAGAATGTTAAACAAGGCTTTGATTGCCTTTTGGGAGATATTGTTGGCTAGCAACCATTGCGCGAATGCATCCCTGCTGTTGAAGGGTGTTTCTGGCGACGTTGCAGCTAGACCGTTATCAGGCAACACGTTCCCATCACTTCCCTCCTGAATGTCGTCCGGCACGATATAATCATCTGCATCACATGGTAAGCTTGCATTCTCGGAATCACTAGAACTAACGTTGCTAGAAGCACTATCATCCAAATGCACCTCTGTCAGAAAATCACCCCCGGTACATGGCACTGGAAAAGCATGTAGATGTTCGTGAAGAGGGGTTGACATGGGCACGGCTGAAGTCAAAGCAACAGCAGTGGGAATAGGATTGGGTGCTACGGTGGGTATGCGAGGGCGTTTATGCAGCCCAGGGTTACTTGTGAAGTACGGCGTAGGTGTCATTGCACGCTTTGCAGGGCAGCTTGAGCTACGCATGTGACTCTCCATGCCCTGTTGGGTCAAGAAGGTGTTGACCTTGCAGGCAGGGCAGCGGTAGCTCATCTGAATGCATGGGGCAGAGAGGGAGTGAATGGGGCAGAGCGTGAGTGAATGGGGCAGAGAGGGAGTGAATGGGGCAGAGCGTGAGTGAATGGGGCAGAGAGGGAGTGAATGGGGCAGAGCGTGAGTGAATGGGGCAGAGAGGGAGTGAACGTGGCAAAGGAGGAGGGAATTTGGCAAGAGAGGGACTGACTGGGGCAGACAGGGAGTGAATGGGGCAACGAGGGAGTGAATGGGGCAGAGCGAGAGTGAATGGGGCAGAGAGGGAGTGAATGGGACAGAGCGTGAGTGAATGGGGCAGAGAGGGAGTGAGACGGGCAGAGTGGGAGTGAATGGGACAGAGAGGGCGTGCATGGGGCAAGATAGGAAATTAGGAGAGGTGGGGGGGGGGGGGGGGGGGTTGTTGTTTTGAGATACCTTGACGAATTACACAGGGAACAGAACAACTCTTTGCTCCACGACAAGTGTTCGGTGTGTCACCACTGCTCCAACAGGCAGCCCTCTCCTACGGTGAACTGGCCAGGGAGATGAGGGAAAAGGGTGTGACAGAGCAAGTGGAGCCGTCAGAGAGCCAGAGCGGCAATGAGCAGGGATGCGAGAGTGGCAGAGAGAGGTAGCGTGAGAGTGGCAGGGAGAGAGAGAGAGAGAGAGAGAGAGAGAGAGAGAGAGAGAGAGAGAGAGAGAGAGAGAGGGAGAGAGAGAGAGAGAGAGAGAGAGAGAGAGAGTATGCGGCAGAGCGCGAGAGAGAATGCGGCAGGGCGTGAGAGAGAATGCGGCAGAGCGCGCACATGCGCACGAGAGAGAGAGAGAGAGAGAGAGAGAGAGAGAGAGAGAGAGAGAGAGAGAGAGAGAGAGAGAGAGAGAGAGAGAGAATGCGGAAGAGCAAGAGTGAGAGAGAATGCGGAAGAGCGAGAGTGAGCGAATGCGGCAGAGCGAGAGAGAGAGAATGCGGCAGGGCGTGAGAGAGAATGCGGCAAAGCGCGCGCGCGTGCGCACGAGAGAGAGAGAGAGAGAGAGAGAGAGAGAGAGAGAGAGAGAGAGAGAGAGAGAGAGAGAGAGAGAGAGAGAGAGAATGCGGCAGAGCAAGAGTGAGAGAGAATGCGGCAGAGCAAGAGTGAGAGAGAATGCGGAAGAGCGAGAGTGAGCGAATGCGGCAGAGCGAGAGAGAGAGAATGCGGCAGGGCGTGAGAGAGAATGCGGCAAAGCGCGCGCGCGCGCACGAGAGAGAGAGAGAATGCGGCAGGGCGACAGAGAGAATGCGGCAGGGCGTGAGAGAGAGAATGCGGCAGAGCGAGAGAGAGAGAATGCGGAAGAGCGAGAGTGAGCGAATGCGGCAGGGCGAGAGAGAGAGAATGCGGCAGAGCAAGAGTGAGAGAGAATGCGGAAGAGCGAGAGTGAGCAAATGCGGCAGAGCCAGAGAGAGAATGCGGCAGGGCGTGAGAGAGAATGCGGCAGAGCAAGAGTGAGAGAGAATGCGGAAGAGCGAGAGTGAGCGAATGCGGCAGAGCCAGAGAGAGAATGCGGCAGGGCGTGAGAGAGAATGCGGCAGAGCAAGAGTGAGAGAGAATGCGGAAGAGCGAGAGTGAGCGAATGCGGCAGAGCGAGAGAGAGAATGCGGCAGGGCGTGAGAGAGAATGCGGCAGAGTGCGCGCGCGTGCGCACGAGAGAGAGAGAGAGAGAGAGAGAGAGAGAGAGAGAGAGAGAGAGAGAGAGAGAGAGAGAGAGAGAGAGAGAGAGAGAGAGAGAGAGAGAGAGAGAATGCGGCAGAGCAAGAGTGAGAGAGAATGCGGAAGAGCGAGAGTGAGCGAATGCGGCAGAGCGAGAGAGAGAGAATGCGGCAGGGCGTGAGAGAGAATGCGGCAAAGCGCGCGCGCGCGCGCACGAGAGAGAGAGAATGCGGCAGGGCGAGAGAGAGAATGCGGCAGGGCGAGAGAGAGAATGCGGCAGAGCGAGAGAGAGAGAATGCGGAAGAGCGAGAGTGAGCAAATGCGGCAGGGCGAGAGAGAGAGAATGCGGTAAAGAACATACATGCTGCTTCCTTATGCTATGTTCGTTCACGCCACGTCAATGTATAACGCAGATTTCCTGATGCAGTTGCCGGCATCTACAACTCAGGATTGACACGGCGTGAGCACTATGTGGGGCGGTAGGCTCGTGAAAGGGAGGGAGGTAAAATTGCCGTCAGAGAGCTCACCTTTTCGCGTCGTGGACACGTATGTGCCCTCTCTCTGGTCCTTTCGCTACCGCGTCACGTCGCTTGTTGCGCCGTTGCTTCAGCTGCTGCAGATTCGTCGCAGCTTAGCGCGACGCGGCTGCTAAGGCGACAAACGGTCGTTGCGTTATCTCTACAATGGAAGCCAGATTCACGTTTCTGAACACAGAGTTGCCTAGATGTCGAGTGAATTATGGAGTGAATCTCAGGGATGGGTGGAGTGTGGAGGGAGGAGTGATGGAGTCGCGCACGAACAGGGCTCTCTTTGACAGCGCGGTATAATGAGGATCAAAGCGGTGACTTGAGGTACAATGTTTTTATTATACGGTGTACAGCGTTCCTGCACGATTCATACGAGATGCACCAATAATTGTGGACCTGAAATGCGTTCTGTTGGCGAATTGATGAACCGTGAGATGCGGGGCATTTTGGCAGAGAATTATATGTTTAGAAACAAACAACAAAAATTGCTTTTCAATAACTAGCTTCGATACAAGACAGTGAACATGTATATGTTAAAACAACCAAACCACATATAAAACCAGTAACTACATCTACAATATCACCATAACAGTACTCAAAATACAGTACACATTCAGAACAATAGTTTTTACACGATGGAGAAATGTAATCAAAACATTAGTATAATTGTACAAGTCATTATATAATAATAACATGTTGGAAACTATGTACAAAAAATATTAATGTTAAGAACACATTATTAAACTCTTGTGGTAACAAAAAAAAGTTAGCAAAAACGAACACCCAAACAAAAACAAAGCACATAGTAAAACTGTTCCATAAATGGCATGACTCCAAATTGGTTACATAAAGAGTTTCCGATACTTGGATGACGTGGCAACAATCAACCAACATTTTCTCGCAAAGGAGAAATTGCGTGCGTTGTGTTGGTTGTCAACAAGCCCCACACATCTCCCGATCTATCGCCATATTTGTCTGAGACAGCGGACCAATGAAAACGCTCGTAAGCACCCAAGCAGAAACGCCACGTAAACCATGGTTTGTGGTCCACCTGTACAGTGCGCGACTGTTAATAGAGGTAAATGGTGATCGAGGGGGGTGGGGAGAAAACAAGTAGAAAGGCTTTCGACAATCTGCAGGTACAGTCAATGCTCATTACAGTCACACCAGGTAGACGGGCGGAATGTTCCTCAAATGGGCAATAGCAATTCGCTTATACTCGCCAATCTCGTCAAAGGGTAGAGGTGATTGTATGTTTGCACAGATGTAACATGCTTGGCGTTTCCCTGGTACTGTTGACCTGCGTAGTTTGTTCTGTTTGCATGTTCGTAGTTACCACTTTGAAGATCAACTACTGTGCCACCAAGAAACAACAATTCACACAATCAGACACAAACACCCCAACCGCTCATTTGAGCAACTGCAATTTTGCCACGTAGTGTACTGTAACCCAACCACACACAACAAATCCCTCCCCAGCCCCACTCCAACAAAAAACCAACTCGTAACTCCACCTTGGAACCTCACCCAACATTATTTCCACAACACATAATCTCCTCCCCCAGGTTCATCACTTAGCATGGCTTGCAGGACATCTTCACAGGCGGTTCATCCACTCGGCCGATGCGTCGTACGTCCCCATGACGGCGTAGACACCGCCGGCAACGAGCTCGCTGAGACGGCTCGTGCCCGTGATCGACGGCGGGAGCACCCGGCCTCGCCCAGGGGTAGAGGACGCGGTGAAGGGCTGCTCGTTGAGGTTCAACACCGGGCTGGCCCGCTCGAGCCGCTCGCGGACAGCCGGGTTGCGGATGTCAAAGAGGACCGTGAGATCACGCGGGGCGACATTGATGGACCGCGCGTAGCCGATGAGCATTTCGCACGCCGCACGAGCTGTACGGCGTGAATCGCGGCTGTTCATGTCACCATCAAAGGCGGCCGCCGCTGGCAGTGGGAACTCCCACTCCTCCCTGGTTGGATGTTCTGCAGGCTCCGACGAGAGGGGATCGGGCCCGCCCATGTCGCACGTAGGCAGGCTGTCGTCCGCTGCGACATACTCCTCGGCGGCGATGGCGGCGCACCCCAGAGAAAGGCCAGTGATGAGACGCCCGACACCCTGCAGCTCATCCTCGCGCGATTCATCCGCTTCTTCAGGAGCCTCGTTATGCCGTGCATAGACGTATTCCAGCTGCATCTCCCACGCATTTGGGAGGCAGCCCGTGTTCCACCAGCAGAGCTGCACCGTCCTGGCTCCGACGTTCATCCATGAGTCGTATATCCACTCCACGACGTCACGCATGTTCGGCTTGTAACGCGCAAGTGACGCCCGGCGACGGTCCTCCTCCCACTGCCTTGTAAGGTCCATGAGCCACAGCTTCTTGTACGTGGTCTTCGCCTTCTTGATGATCCCCTGATCAAGGGGCTGCGTGAAGCACGTGGTGTTCGGTGGAAGGTACACCAAACGCACGTTGCTCAACGTGCGTGTGCGGAAGCTAAAAAGGTCCTCCGTCCCGGCCGTCTCGGTGAGCAACGTGTGGCTGCTGGCGTTATCAAGCAAGATGACCACGTCGCGACCCTCAGCATACATAGCCGCGTTCAGTTTCTCAATGAAGTGCGTGAACAACTGCATCGCGAAGGGGGCGGGGTAACAGCCAAGTTACAGTTTCTCACAGGGAGTTGTGACCGGGAGAATGAAGAAGCAAGAAACGCAACAACCAAGTATTCAATTACAGTGTTTCTTCGTACCTCCTTGGTCATCCAACCTTTCCTGTTGGAGCGCCAGTAGCAATACGGCTCAGGGTCGTAATCGGGGCGAAAATCGACAGGGCGCTTCGATTTGGAAATGATCAGGGGACGCCAGAATGTGCTGCCGTCAGCGTTGCAGAGAAATCCGACCGTGAGCCGATCCTTCGCGATTTTACGACCGGCGACGCGAGCACGGCCATATGTCCTCCTCGGCAGGGCAGAGACGTAGACTCCCGTCTCGTCGAAGTTGAGCACGTTGCGCGGAGGGACCGCCAGATGGAGCAACAGCTTTGGCATTTGCTCCCGGCACGTTCTCACGGCATGCATGTCTGCCTCTGCTGCCTCACCAGAAAGAGCGAAGTACCGGATGCCCAGACGCTTCATGGCTCGCCGTACCCATCCGGTCGAACACCGAAAGCTTGGCGGCTTCCCCAGCTCACGGGCAACAAGCTTGGTGTGGTCACGGATAGTCTCAAGCATGAGCGGCACACCTGCCTTATTGGCCTGGTCGACAAATTTCTTCAGCTCAAGCTCCAAGTCTGGGTGAGCGCCACCACGAACCCGCATGCTGTCAGCATCTTCGCTGCTGGACGAGCTCCAACGAGAATCCTCGCTGAGTATCTTGGTCACCGTGGTACGGTGAGGCCGAATGCCATAACGAGTGAAGCACCAGCGTGCAATGTCCTCGTGACGCAAATGCGGATGTGCCTCTTGCTTGGCACAGATGGCGCGCTTGATGCTGAGAGTAATCTGAGAGCGGTGGCGTCGCTGGCGAGCCATGGCAGCTACAAGTAGAAGAACACAGGCTATTGCTAGTTAATCGTGAATGTCGAGTAAATTTATGGGCTTTACGACTTGCGCGACCATTCATTCAGCAGGGAGTTTGAGCTTGTCGAAGGGCGTGATCAGTTGCGGTGGGCGCAGTGCTATGCAGATGTTATTTAGCAGAAATGTGACATTTGGTGTGAACCGGATAGGTACGCTTAAGGCATACGCGAGGTCCCATGAGGTTTTTTCTTGTGTTTTACTTAATTTGGGGGGGGTTAGCGTTTCTGTTCGGGGGAATGGGGTGGTTCGGACCGCGAGTTGACGCTTCATTGTCAATTCCAATGAAGCGGTGATAGGCAGCGCGAGGAAATCAAAAACGTCTCGATGCTTCCTTGGGAATCTGAGTGAGGTGGCGGCGCGCATCCACGTCGGCGGCGCAAGTGTCATGTCGCCGCCGACGTGGCGTTCACTCGCATCGCGAAGCTGGTGAAGGCTTCGCTGCAATTCGTTCTAGCACTCGCAGAGATTGCTGTAGTGCTTGTCCGTTCCGCAAGCCTCGAAGCGCCCTGTAAATTTGCATATCAACAGGCACAACAACACAAACTTTCGAGTGACTGTACCCCTTGTGATATCACCCGGTAAACCACACAATTGTGATTAAATTTCTCACTGTGATGACCAAATTTTGTGTGATAGACTGAGCATCGACTATATAAACCCAGCACATCCGATGGTAAACTGCCGAGAAGCAGGGTAGTGCGAATTTCACCTCATCAATCATAAAAAATGACCGGCCTCCCAACTCAAAAAAGGACCCCTCGCCCTCCCCCCCCAATACTCGGCAGTTTCACATTTTTCCGATGGAGGGACTGCTTACTATGTACAGTGTATCGAGCACGCATGCCCAAATTTGAAACCATAGGCCCTGTATTGGACGGCGGCTAGGACCTTTCATGAGTGACATTTGCAACCCAGATTCAAGTTGGTGCATTTCAAGTCGTCGTGGTCAGATTACGGTCCCATGATGATCCACGAACTACACATGCGCTCTAGTGTCTCCGGATGGTTCGCTTCTCAACAAAGCTGTTCTCCCATGCCAATAGGTTTTCCGTATCACTATATGTATCAGTGTACCAACTGGACCCCTTTATCCAACCCTCCCCCACTCGATGCTCGAACCGGAACGCTTGTATGCCCTCATGATATCATCCCAGATTCTTTCACCACGTCTCTCTGCTTCCCAGGCAAGCCACATTTCGTCAGACCCGAGCCATCCGGTGCAGCGGGATTTGCTGTATTTAAGCCACATTATAGGAGTTGAATCCGAAAGCTCATTTTTGCCAAGTACCAACCGGAATCTGGCAGTCAAAGTAGGTAATGCTCGTACTGTCAGCGACGGCAGTCACAGGCCATTTCTCACTCAGCGGCCAGCGTGGTGCGACCATTTTCACGCAGCCGCTTTTGACAGCAACCCCGCCCATGGGTGTTGACTCCTCTGCCACACTGTGATTCCATCGGAGACAACTAATTGCGGCTGAGCCATCCTAAGACATTCAATCCAGTTCACCCAGGCACATCAAGTGACGTCACCAGCGACAGACAGTGACACGAAGCGCCGGAATGCGATGATCCTGTGACCTCCTGCGACCTCCTGCGACCTCCTGCGACCTCCTGCGACCTCTTGTGACCTCCTGTGACCTCCTGCGACCTCCTGCGACCTCTTGTGACCTCCTTTGACCTCCTGTGACCTCCTGTGACCTCCTGTGACTTTTTGTGACTTTCTGTGACCTCCACTGACCTCATATGACCTCCTTTGACCTCCTTTGACTTCCTGTGACCTTCTGTGACCTTCTGTGACCCCCTGTGACCCCCTGTGATCTCCTGTTACATCCAGCGACCTCCAGCGACCTCCAGCTGCCTGTTGCAAGAACGGTGAGATGAACGGTCATGATGGATCAAATCCATCATCATATCAGCATGATCCGTGGGCTCACCAGCAGCGGCAGCAGCAACAGCAGCACAACCACCACTAATGAGAGCAGCAACAACATCAGCAGCAACAGCAGCAGCACCAGTTTCATCAGCACCAGTACAATCATCACCAATTGTACCAAATAGCAAGTACTTAACGCTTGCATCAGCAGCAGATGCAGGAGCAGGAGGAGCAGGAGCAGTATCACTGACATCGTCAGCAGCATTGGTACCAAAAACCGAATACTCAACGCTGGCATCAGTGAGAGCAACCGGCTGGAATGTCACGCTGCCTAATCTGAGCTACGTACCTGATACACATGCTGCCACGGCAGGTGCTGCTTCTGCTGGTGCTGCAGCAGGTTCTGCTGCTGCTCCTGCTGCTTCTGCTGCTGCTCCTGCAGGTGGCAACCACGTCCCAGAAGCACAAGCTATTCCAGTGCCATTTCCAGCTGATGGGGGAATAGCATTCTCAAACGAGCTTGCTCAGGGGCAGCCGAGACTGCAGCCGAGGCAGACGGGGCAGATGCAGGAGAGATTACAGCCCGCCTTTGGGTCGACTCAGAAGATGCAGGAGAGATTACAGCCCGCCTTTGGGTCGACTCAGAAGATGCAGGAGAGATTACAGCCCGCCTTTGGGTCGACTCAGAAGATACAGGAGAGATTACAGCCCGCCTTTGGGTCGACTCAGAAGATGCAGGAGAGATTACAGCCCGCCTTTGGGTCGACTCAGAAGATGCAGGAGAGATTACAGCCCGCCTTTGGGTTGACTCAGAAGATGCAGGATGAGATTGAGGTGGTTCTTGAGCAGTCTCAAATGCCTCTTGGCCTCCACCCGGTCGAACCCGGCAGTGCTTTGGATCAGCACAGGGGAGTGCAATTGCAGCAGCTTAGGTTCGACACGTGGCAGTGGCAGAACCCAAGCGCGGTCGCTCACATGCAGCAGGATCTGAACGCGCAGAAGGGCTCTCACCACGGTCCAATGCACGGGATGCAAGTGCCAAGCTTTGAGGCGCCTCCCGCGTCTGCCGCCACAAGCACGTTCCCCACCCTGCCTGCTTTGGAGCAGCACGAGGCGCCGCAGCTGACGCAGATGCAAGGTGCTGTTGCGGTTCAGGACATATGGGGGCTCCCCTTGCCTTGACTAGAAGGGCAGCAGAGCTTGCAGCAACCGATGCAGCAGCACTCTCAGCAGCCAGAGCAGCAGCACTCTCAGCAGCCAGAGCAGCAGAGCCAGAAACGTCAGTGTCGGTTGCAGGAGCAGGAGAAACGCCAGCATCCTCAGGTACAGGTCCAACAGGAGTACCAGCAGCAGTCGCAACAACTGCAGCAAGAGCAGTGGCATTGGCAAAAGCAGAAGCATCAGCATCAGGTGCAGAGGCAATGGCAACAGAAGCGGCAGCAGCAGCAGCAGCGGCAGCAGCAGCAGCAGCAGCAGCAGCAGCAGCAGCAAGAGCAGCAGCAGCAGCAACCACGGGAGCAGCAGCAGCAGCAGCCACGGGAGCAGTGGCAACAACAACAGCAGCACCAACAGCAACAGCGCCAGCAGCAGCAGCAGCAGTCGTCTCTTCTGTGCACTGAGAATCTTGAAGGCCGATGGACAGCATGTGCTCCTGCTGTACTTTCTTCTACCACTGACGTCACCACTGGCACCACTGACATCACCACTGGCATCACTGACATCACTGACGTCACCACTGGCACAGCTGACGTCATCACTGGCGTCACTGACGTCACCACTGGCATCACTGACGTCACCACTGCTGTCACTGATGTTACGGCTGGTGTGACGGATGGCGTTGGTGGTACCACTGCTGAAGCTGATGTCATTCCTCTCCCTGAGCATAGCATTCCTTCTTGGGGGAACGCCCTTCATGCCCCGTGTGCCCCTTTTGCTGGTTCGGGTATCCGCCCTCCTGCAAAGCATGAACCAGCTTGTCAAGGCGAGGCGTGGATGGATCCACCAAATATTGATGTTGCCACGTCAGCAGCACCCAATGGTGCTGACGTGTCAGCATGTGGTGGTGGCACCACATCAGGCTGCGAAACCACTGCCTTTCAGCAGCAGAAAGCATCATGGAAGCATATGCCAGGCGAGGATTTCAGGGATTATCGTCTGCAGCACATGACCCACTCCCAGCAGCATTTGCACCGCAATCAGCCACAGCAGCAGCACCTTCAGCAAGCTGTTTCGGTCGAAGCAGCAGGTTACATGGTGGATGGTGGTGGGGGCGGCGGAAACCGCAGGAATAGCAGCAGCTGGAGGTGCACCCACAGCAGCACTGTCGATTCTGTGGAATCTGGAACTGGTACCTTGGCTGCTACTTGTAAAGACTTTGCCAACGTTTTGCGGTATGATCGATTTGGTCGACGTAACAGCACTACCAGCAGTGGTGGCAGCATGAGCAGTTTGGGTTGCTCTGTGGCGGGATCATCACCGCATGATGAGGCTGATGTGGCTGTCAGATTGGAAGCTTCTGTTGCTGATGTGTCGTTGGATGAGCTGTATTTGGCTCAACAAGACATCAGCATGATGTGCCAAGTCACTGCGCAGAATTTTAACAACCCAGAAGTGATTTGCACACTGGTTGTGCAAGGTTGTGACGATATTGATAGTATTTTGTCTGATTGTCTAGGAGAGGTGATCGAGTAGTGGCAAACTAAAATAGCAACCTGGAAGGAAAGGATTGGGAATGATTGCAAGGAACTGGAACTTTATTTACATCGCATCTGGTCTCATCGCACAACAGTGTACATCGGGTCTTGACGGTTCTTTGCACGTTGCCAACCCTCAATGTTGACTGCAATTTGCCGCTTTCGCCAAACCACGTTTTGTGTATAAGGCTGGTTTTGAGCCTGTGAAGAACTCTGATTCATCATTTTCTTAGAACCTATGTGGTGATGACGATTCTAAATGCACACTTGCGCGAGCTACTATAGTGGTCCGTTTCCAAACCGACCAGAGTACCTTGTGTGATCATGCTGATATGCAAGTGACATCCGTCAAGGTGCAAAATGGTTCTGTCAACTTCTCGTACGTTTTGATAAGTTTACTACTCGGTTCATTGATTATACCCGTTAGATGTTGACGGATATCGCCGAAATCAGAGGGACCAACGAGAAACCACCTTCATCTGATTCGCTAACCTAGAAGTCACGGCCCGCGCCGCGTTCCAGTTAGTCCTAAAGCACCCCTCTTCTCTCTCTAGATTCTGAGATTCCATCTGTGAGGTGAGGACGGTCACCGATCGTGCAATCGAACCTGTGCAGGTTCGTACTTTGGCGGGGTTAGAGACGTTTCTGAGAGTTGCCATCTACACAGTGTGGATGAAATTCGTGTGATTTCAGTGGCGGTGGCCGATCTACTCAAAAATCCCTATTGAGTTTACATAGCTTTTACATACTCGAACCATACTTGCTAGTATGGTTTTAGGTGGTTTGATTAGGGCTACTAAAACGTAGAAATTGGCGTATGTTTTTTGTAGGCTTCAAATGTCTACGAATTAGTAATGCTCAAACAGTAAATGTTTGTTTTCCATTTGTATGTGTCTCATTATATTTCAGTGGCCTAAACACTAATCATTTGCCTTTCTTTTGTTGACAAAACCTTATAGAATCATTTTTCAAATGTAGGACAACTAGCATGATGTTTGTATGGATTTGAATCATACTGAATGCTCATTGACCATGATTCAATTAGATGCCTGATGATTCATGAATTAGAATCCAACATTGATAATTAATAGAATTCCAGTACAATCACAACAATTAATCCACCATCCGACTTCCAGTATCCTTACTCTCACACATCTTTAACACTACACACTGTCTTCGGCATCCTCCCACTCACCCACGTCATCAAGGACATCGCGCTCCATAGTGGCAGCACTTTCGTTGGAGCACGTCTTCTTCTTTTTCCCCTTCTGCACTTCCACCTGGGAGAACTTATAGAGGCGCTTGACAGCGGCCTTTTCCTTGCCATCGGGGTCAGCTCCAACTGGGGTGAGGTCCGAGAACCCACTCCCCGAGATGACCACGGTCTCAGTGGGCCCAAACACCCATCCCTGGTGCTGCTCGGACCAGGCGGGGAGCTCGTTGTTGGGGGCCTGCTCAAGAGTGTGGCGGATTGCTGCCTTCACCTTGCGGTGGTAGCGGGCAATGTCGTCCGCATTCACACAGGCATCTGTGGGAATGCGCTTTCCGCGTGCCTTATGAAGCACCACGGAATACTCCACCTGCCAACATGTGGAGAATGCAAATGATAAGGCTTAAAATTATTGGTGAAGAAAATTCAGCAAGATGCAAGCTTCGTCTTATAGCAGCCAATGCAATGGTACTAGCTATTCGACACATCATGCTATTGTCGAAATATATTTGTCATGTTTTATAACTGCTTGTAGTTGTAGTTAGTGTAGTTATTTAAACTGTTGTTGGTGGTGCATCTTATTTGGTTTCTATGCTATATGTACCCTTGAACCTATAGTGAAACCATCACTTTTCTCCAATTCCTCTCTCAACTCACTTGATACCTCGCCTAGGGTAAAACCCGCTCGACATCCTACTTGGGCCTAGGCTACTAAGCCTAGGCCCTACTTTAATCTACTCGTTCGCTCATTAGTTCAACTCTCGACAGCTATGCATACCAGGTAGAGGGTGTAGGCGATGTGGTACGCCTTCACCACCGTTACCGCCCCACCATCACCCTTCTGGAACGCGTTGCGAATGATGAGATCGAACAGTGCGGTAGCGAAAGGGCGGTTCAGCTCCTCCGAGAAGTGCCAACGAAGAAGGCCACCCCTTACTGCGAATGTGTAGGGGACAATATGGAAGGGTTTATGAGAGTCAGTGGTGTTCTGGTGTAAATCACAGCAGAACAATGCATAAGATCAGCTGCTGAAGGTATAACCTGAGAGAGTTTGGGAGAGAGAAGCAGGGATGGGGGGGACAACGAAAGCAGGGAGAAGAGAAGAAAAGGGGGGAGAGGGGCTGAGCGTTGAGACTTGCCACGGATACTTGCACCTCGTGTCACGCGTGGGGTCCTGCGGGCTGACTCTGACTTGGCAAAGGGAAGCAAGCAGGTAGAGTGAAGCAGAGAGATATGGTAATGTCAAAAACACTGACCACATGTCCCACGAAAAGCCTAGAAGTAGCTGAAAGAGATCGGGAGAGAGAAGCATGGATGGAGGGGACAACGAAAGCGGGGAGAAGATTGGGGACAGTGGCTGAAAGTTGAAGGCGTTCCATGAGAACTAGCACCACGTGTCACACGTGAGGTCCAGCGAGCTGACTTTGACTTGGGCAAGGGGAGCAAGCAGGTTTAGTGAATCGGAGAGACACGGCCAAATTTTCAAACACACTGACCACATGTCCCACGAAATGCCTAGGATCAGGACTTTACTCAGGCCTGAAGTAGTGAGGGAAAAGGGAGAGGTGGATGGAAGCGTTAAGGGAAGAATGTGGTGACTGAACGTGGGCAGCAAATGCACGAGAGTTGTGCATTAGCGGTCAAGCTGGTGCACAGAAGAAGACAGGAAGAGCAGGACGAAGAGTGGTAAAGGGATGCAACATTCTTATACACAACAGCGACGGCGAGGTACACAAGCGACTGCGAGACTTAGGAGAAAGCAACCTCAGGAAAGAAGTGTGCCACGACTCACCAAGTGGCGTAACACCTTCCAGGTTGTACACCTGGGTGGGGGTGCGCTCTTCCTCGCACACAAGTTCACTGTAATCAAACTTGAGGCGAGGATTCGCCTCACAAACGAGGCCGAAAGCTTCCGCAAACATGCGACGCGCAGCCATGGAGATTTTTGCACGCCAATCGTTGCCCTTGCGCTTTGCAGACCCGGCACGAGCGACGCAGTACATCATCACTGCTCGAATGGCAGGACCCTTACTCGTGCCCCATACTCCAATAAGGCACTCCAGAACGAGACCATCGGATGGGTACATGCTGCTGACGTCGTCAGGCTAGCGAAACAGCGTCACCTGAATTGCGAGCTCCATTTTCTTCTGCGGTGGTGGGGCAGAGTAGGAAAAGAGATATAAGTCAAAATGGGCAGAGCATCTTGGATGCACGCTAGTTGGACGAGAAGAATTTTTTGCATGACAGGAGTAGGGAGAGAGAACGTGGAAGGGCGGGGTGGGAAGGGGCGGGGTGGGGTGGGAAGGGGCAGGTTGGGGTGGGAACGTAAAAGGGCGGGGTCCAAATGCACCACTCTCCCAAACCAACACCCGACCCCAACACACTCCCCATCATTCTCCATCTCAAAACACCAAGTCCCCCTGGTTCATTGCATGGCTCACACTACTTACATTCCATGCCTTGCCATAAGCAGGGAGCTGACGCATCAGAAGCTGGTCCTTCAGGGGGATGCCGCTAAGGGAAGTGTGCAGTACGACGTCGCATACGCCCGGATCCGCGAAAGTCGGGTAATCCCGCTTGCGCTTCTGACCATCACTGCGCGCTGCTGCCGGTTGATTCGCCGGCGTGCGTTCGACCACCTCGCGTTCGGATGGGGCGCCACGCCTTGTTTCGCCCTTTTCCGCCGTGGAGCCACGCTCATCGCCAATCTGGCGCAAGAGCGAAGAAATCAGCACCGACTGCTGCTGCGTGGTGCGCTCCAAATCTGCCACACGATCTTCCGCACTCGAGACACTAGGCTCCTTCGGCGCCGCCCGATGAACACCGTCCAGCGGGCTCTCCACCTGACGGGCTTTTGCAGCAGCGTCCTGACCACGGTTGGTAACGTTATTGAGCGTGTCCTGGCGGCCTTCGCCTGAATCAAAGGTAAACGCACCATCGTCATTAGTAGCAGATTCTTACATCATCACACAACAGAAACAACAGAGGCAAAACATTCATCCAAAACTGGTATGGAAACTAACAAAAACATCATACCTGCCGCATCTGGACGCTGGTTTCCATTGTTGTGGTTGCCCCTAAGAAGTTCTTCCTCGTCCTCATGATCGCTGAAGTCGTCCGCATTGATCTGAACCCCAAGAGGAGCTGCTTCCCCATCGTGGCCACCGCGGTTGCTAGGAGCAGCAGGCTCGCACTCGCCATCGCTGTTGCTTTCCTCCTCATGCACGGGCTCGCCAGGGAGAGCAGGCAACTTTTCGTTGCCTTCGGGATCGTCAGCAGGTCGCTTGCCCTTGTCGAGCGCCAACTTCTTAAGTTTGTTGCTGGCGAGCTTGCGACCACTCGAGTTAACAGCGCCACGCAAACGATTCCCAAGACCTCCAGCGCCGTGCATCTTGGCCGTCAGCTTGATAGGTCGGTTGCCACCCTGCTCATTTCGCACAGAAGCAATGGAAGCCATGGAAACGGACCGTGCAGGGCGATGAAATCGAGGCTGGAAGGATAGTAAACGAGTCACGAAAGTTTATGATACTACAATGGACAATGAGAGATCTTAAATACCTAAGACTATGACTTACGTTCTAAACGTTTAAGAAAAGTTCGTTGTTTCAGGTGTCTGTGCAAGAAGGGCAGGTGCTCCTGCCGTAAGTGCAGGTGAAATGTGTTGTGGCGCAGGTACGTGGTGCATAGCTCTAAGCGCTTCCGCCTTCTGCTGGTCGCACAGCTATCTGTTGACGACGTTGGGGTTTCATAGCTATGGAGCCTCATACTTGCTGCTGGAAAGTCTATGTATGTTCTCAGCGGGAAAACGGCTGGCTGTTGGCGCCAAATGGCCATTGATCTCCTGGCGCCTATCCTTACGGAGAGCAACGAGCGTAGTAATTACGGGATGACTGCTCTCCGTGGTCCTCTTTGGCTGGAAGGCGAGGACTTGACTTTGGAGTTTGAAAGTTTGAACACAACACGAAATCTGAACCGTATAGTTGCTCATCTAGCGGTTGACGACATTGGAGTCTCATAACCATGAGGACTCAAGCTCGTTGATGCATCTAGGATGACTCTTAATGGTGTGAGAGAAAAAAAACGCCTGGCTGTTGGCGCCAAATGGCGAATAATCTCCTGGCGCCCTTGGGTACTTCGAGAGCTACGAGAAGAGGAAATGACGGGAGGACTGGTGTTCGTGTTCCTCTCTCTGGCTGGAAAACAGCAGCAGCGAGGTTTGAAATTTTGAAGTTTGAACAATCGAATGGAGAAGACGAAATCTGAGCCACACGATCAGTCGTGACCAAGCAATCCTAGCTGCTAGCGAAGAATAGGTTAACAGTAACAATACAACTAGGGGTGAGTGCACGATGCTCCATCACGGAAAATCATGCTGCTGTGCTAAATCTCAACCGTAGATCAAAATTCCTGTCCTCAGGGCGTGACCCAAAATTGATTCAATTTCGAATGTAGCTAGGTTTAGCACGATGATAATGGGTTCAGTGTGACAACATTTCGAAACTAAAATGCTACAGCTCAGTACCGATCTATAAACTGTCACACCTAGCCAAAATTCAAATCGAATTGGCTTCACAATTTTGTAGTAACGCGCCCTAACCCATATCGTCTTTTGCCGCAAAGACATGACAAGGTAGGCAACAGGTTACTGTTTACGAAATGTGTGGACCACTGGGGAAAGGCACTGCCATGTCATTTAGCGACAATGAATCTGGACACCAATAAAAACATCCACTGCAAAAAAACGACAAGGGGGTCCACCGATTGAGAACGTTCTCTCTTGTTCCCTCAATGTTGAGCACACCTGGTCTGTATTCGGTAACACAAAAGCCATTGTGGTAGCAATGTTCAGTACTTAGTTGTCCGTAATAAATACATATTTAAAATTTATTGCCTACAAACAGACATGGCCGTATTGGAACATACATTCCTTCCATCCGATTAATTTCTTAAGATGCCATGTAGACACAGACAGTCTAACACAATTGAGGGCACCAAACTGAACCAATTATATGTTCTTGTTGTGTCAAACATTATATATGTTATGCTTGTGTAGGCTACAGTGGGTTAGCCTATAGGGGGTACACAATTCTAGGGTTTCCTACTTGTACTCATTTCACTGCTAGTTCATTCATTCCTGTTCGCTTATTCTCACATGGTATAGAGCGGGTCCTTCTAAGGACCGTTTTTTTTGGGCCCACCGAAGCGCGCCCCGAGGCGCGATTTTTTTTAGCGACCCCTCGGGTCGCCTTTTCCCCTGCGGCTCAGCCGCCTCCACTGACGCGGCCCCGCAGCCCTCCCTTACGCGGCTCCGTCGCCGACTCTGTCGCGGCCCCGCCCCGGCCTTTACGCGGCCCCGCTGCCTGCTCTCACGCGGCCCCGCCCCGGCTCCTACGCGGCCCCGCCCCGGCCTTCACGCGGCCCCGCCGACGGCTCTGTCGCGGCCCCGCCCAGGCTCTTACGCGGCCCCGCCGCCTACTCTCGCGCGGCCCCGCCCCGGCTTTCACGCGGCCCCGCCGACGGCTCTCTCGCGGCCCCGCCCCGGCTCTTCCGTGGCCCCGTCCCGGCTCTTACGCGGCCCCTGCCCCGGCTCTTACGCGGCCCTGCCGCCGGCTCTCTTGCGGCCCCGCCCCGGCTCTCACGTGGCCCCGCCGTCGGCCCTCTCCAGGCCCCGCCGCCGGCTCTCTTACGGCCCCGTCGCCGGCCCTGACGCGGCCCCTACCCCGGCTCTCAAGCGGCCCAGCCGCCGGCTCTTTTGCGGCCCCGCCGCCGGATCTGAAGCGGCCCCGCCCCGGCTCTCACGCGGCCCCGCCCTGGCTCTCACGCGGCCCCGCCGCCGGCCCTCACGCGTCCCCGCCCCGGCTCTCTCACGCGGCCCCGCCGCCACACCTGCAGCAGTCGGGCAGCAGTGCAGCCGAACCGCCAGGGAGCCGAGCCGCCCAACGCCCGAGCCGCCCAGTCGCCGAGCCGCCCGGGACCCGAGCCGCCCTGCACCCGAGCCGCCCTGCCGCCGAGCCGCCCGGGAGCCGAGCCGCCCTGCACCCGAGCCGCCCTGCCGCCAAGCCGCCCGGGAGCCGAGCCGCCCTGCGCCCGAGCCGCCCAGCCGCCGAGCCGCCCGGGAGCCGAGCCGCTGTGCACCCGAGCCGCCCGGTCGCCGAGCCGCCTTTCTGCAGAGCTGCACGACCTGCCCTGCCTGGTGAGCACAGTCCCACTGTCACTGCGAGCTCTTTCCGTACTGCTTGCACTGCGTCGCTGTCGTCGCCATGGCTACCCCTATTGTCCTAGCTTTTGACGCTGAGGGTCGCGCCATTGATTTTGAGGTCTGGTTAGACGACCTGCAGCTGTTCTTACAGTGCGACAGGGCTGACGGCCTTTCTCTCTTTGACCTCACCTCTGGCGCCTCTCCTGCTCCTGCCGCTGATGCTGATCCCACTGTCCGCTCTCAGTGGGCCACCCGCGATGCTGTTGCACGTCTTGCTGTGCGTCGCCACCTCCCTACCTCTGAGCGTGCGCACTTTAGTCAGTACAAGAGTGCTCAGACCTTGTACGACGCTGTAGTTGCGCGCTACTCCTCCCCTACCACTGCTGCACTGAGCCGTCTTATGCTTCCCTACCTCTTTCCTGACCTCTCTGCCTTTCCCACTGTCGCTGACCTCATTACGCACCTCCGCACTAGTGACACTCGCTACCGCGCCGCCCTTCCTGCTGAGTTCTACGCTAAGAACCCACCCCCCATGTACATCGCTCTCTACTACGTAGTCGCGCGCCTCCCTGACTCCCTTCGCGTTGTCAGGGACCACTTTCTCGCAGTCTGTCCCACCACCCTCACCGTCGACCTCCTCGAGAAGGCCCTCCTCGCAGCGGAGAAGAGCATAGTCGCTGTAGGTGCTTCTCGTGGTGACCCTCGCACCCCCATCTTTGAGGGGTGCTCTCCTTCCCCTTTGCTGCCCTCTGTTGCCTCTGCTACTGCTGCCGACCTGCTTGGTCTTGAGTCGGTCGGCGCGGCGTCTGCCCCTAGTGGGAGACGTCGCTCCAGCAAGGGCAAGGGGGGCAAGGGTACGGGTGGAGCTGGAGGGGGCGGTGGCGGTGGCGGCGGTGGCGGCGGAGGGAGTGGGGGTGGCGGCGGGACTAGTGGCGGGGGTGGTGGTGGTGGTGGCAGCAGCGGCGGAGACGGTGGTGGTGGTGCCAGCGGTGGTGGTGGAGGCAGCGGCGGAGGTGGAGGCGGCGGAGGTGGAGGCGGTGGAGGCGGCAGCGGAGGAGGCGGTGGTGGTGGAGGAGGTGGAGCTGGTCGGGGTGGTACCCAGCAGCGTAGCGGCGGTGGTGGTGGCCAGCGCTCGCAGCGGCAGCAGCAGCAGCGCTCGCGGGACATCCCTCCGCCTCAGTAGCTTCGTGAGTGGTACGCTGGGCATCAGAGGGGTGGGGGTACTGGTCCCTGCACCTACGTTCTTCGTTCCGACGACCGCGCGGGTGAGCAGTGTGGGGGTGCCCACGCCACCCAGCGCTGCTTTGGCCGCCTGACGGACGCTTGGCGTCAGCAGTTCCCTGGGGCTAGTGAGATCCCTCGCTGGGATGAGCTTCTTAGGGCTGGTGTAGCGATCTTTGATCTTGATTTTGATGCTATCCTTGCTGCTATGTATGCTGTGACTTATAGTGAGGAGAATGAGGGTTACCGGTGTTTCCAGCCCGACCCGGGCATTGGTACTGCTGCGCTAGGTGCTTGTGAGGCTGCTGCTCTAGGTGCCAGTGCGTCTGCGCTCTCAGGTACTGGTGAGACTGCGCTCTCAGGTACTGCGTCGTCCTCGTCCTCCCTCACTTTCACACTTGACTCCGGGGCTTCTCGCTCCTTCTTTCGAGACCGCACTACCCTTACGCCGCTCGGCCGGCCGGTTGCAGTCTCCCTTGCTGACCCCTCTGGGGGTCCTGTCCTGTCTCACTTCTCCACTGTCCTCCCGTGTCCGGCTGCCCCTTCGGGCACCCTGTCTGGTCTGTACCTTCCCTTGTTCTCTACGAACTTGGTGAGTGGCGCGGACCTGCAGGATGTGGGGGTTCACCAGTTCACTCCTGCGAGTCAGCGGGTGACCCACTGCACGAAGGCACGCACAGGCCGACACCTGGCCACGTTCTCGCGTCGGCCGGGGTCAAGTCTCTACACCCTAACCGTTGAGTCTCCTCCTGTCCCTGCGTCTGGTCAGGTGGCTGCGTCAGGTCAGGTGCTTGCTGCTGCGTCCCGGTCAGGTCCTGAGTCTGCCCCCTGTTCTTGTCGCCTCCTGTCTCACGAGACTCTCCTGTGGCACCACCGTCTTGGCCACCCCTCCTTGCCCCGTCTTCGGAGCATGGCTTCCCGTGTCCTTGTCTCTGGTCTTCCCCAGTCTCTCCCTCCTCTCCCCTCCGGGC